GGTAGATTAAGGGACCTTTAAGGTCTAGTAGCCCATGCTGGTAGAGCTTAAGATTCTGAGCAGGGAGCTCTGTACAAGCATAGACAGATCTAAACGGAAGCCATGTTTTCCTCAAGAATCTCCTCCCAGGAACTTACGATGGTTTTGGCGACATTAAGAGGCCGAAAGTCAAGAGAGACTGCAAACCTAAGCCCTGAAACTGCAATTCCAATAAGTTCAACCACAAACCCAATTCCCGAAGCTCCAAACCCTGCACCGCAATTCCAACAGACAACCTGCACCCGAAACCATACTCCTTCCTGTGCCCTAAGCCTTGGGTACTGCCCCCACCCGGTAGCAGTCTATATTAGGGATGTAGGGCTATATTTAACTATACTATGAATATTATCCAGTTGTTACGGAGTGGGGGCAGTACCCTAAACCCAAAAACCCCTAAAACCCCTAAAACCCCAAACCAAACCCTAAACCCTAAACCCTAAACCCTGAACCCTAAATCCTAAACCTTAACCTTACACCCCCTTCAACACAAGGGTCTGCGTCGGCCGCAGCGTATTTGTCCTGGGCCTCCCCTTCGGCCTTGGTAACTCGAACCGCTGTTGAAGGAACTTCATTTAACTAAGTTCAAGTTACTATATTGGGGTATAAGATTCTTGAGGAAAACATGGCTTCCGTTTAGATCTGTCTATGCTTGTACAGAGCTCCCTGCTCAGAATCTTAAGCTCTACCAGCATGGGCTATTAGACCTTAAAGGTCCCTTAATCTACCCTTATTAGGGTCCTAATGGGGAATTTTAAGGTCTAATAGCCCATGGTGGTACTATATTGGGGCATAATATAGGGTTTAGCTTTTGTAGGGTTGGGGTTATTATGCCCCTATAAGGGAGAATCACATGGAAAAGAGTATGGAAATGAAGTCGAAACTCGTTGCTGGTCTAAGGAACTTAGTTTTAAGTTACTATACTATAGGTTTACACGGGGGCAATTAAATAAGGGGATATAGGGATATATATGGTTTGGGGCGTAGGGTTATGGAACTTAATTTAAAATACAAGAATGTGGAAACCCTATTAATTGCTATCTACCCAATTATGGTAACTTACTTTTTGTTCCTTGGCAGCAACCCAGTGACTGCCTCCTTCTGGGCGCGGGCGGCGGCCCGGGCCTCCTCCTCCTGCTTAGTAATTAGGGGTTTTAGAGGTTCAGGTGTCTGTTCAGGTTTAAAGATGTACGTAGGTGTAGGGCCTAGAAATCCTTACTTTGCGCGGCGCTTGGGTCAGGTATTTGTTAGGAAAAAATGTTCTATCTCCAACGCGCCACTTCAAAATGGAAAGACCCCTGGGAGCCCCAGCGTCCTGAAAGCCGCGCACGTGACTCGGAACCATCGCTAGACTATTCAAATGGGGATTTCCAGCAACTAGCAACTGGGGATCCTGTTTGGAGAGTCCGCACCCTGGGATCTTAATTTGTCGGGTTCTCAGTGTGGAAGCCTCAGTAGTCCTGCAGACACTTCCGTCAGTATCCTGAATAATCAAAGAATTTCTTTATAATAGTAGATGCCACAATACCTTACTCTAGTTTTCTGAGCCCCGGAAAGGCTAGCCCTATAACCTCTGAATCTTGAGCCTTGAATCCTACACCCTCAGCCCCAAGCCCTGGATCCCTAATCTCTTTTCCTGGGGCTCCTCCTTCTCCTGTCTTTTGGCAAGGATGGCAGCATGCTTGCCCTGGAGTTGCCGAACCTGCCTGGACATCATAGGTCATAGAGTGGGGTTCGGGGTTTTGGCTGCAAGCTTGCAAGGGTTTGAGGTGCAAATGCTGATGGGGGTTTGTTGCAAAGGCTTCGCCTTCTGCGTTCCAAGGGCTTGTAAGGTTAGTCCCAAGAAGACTACTGCAAATGAAGGACTGATCGGGCCTCTTGCTGGCTGACTGGGCACCACTGGCGTTTTAAGGGGTTCACGGCTTTAGGCCCAGAAAGGAGTCCCCGTGAGGGTAACGGTGGTAACGGTGGGATTTCATAGGCATGATGTGCAGATACCCTAGAAGCCCCGTGGGGCTGTTGTTCTACAGGCTCATGGGTCTAAGTCTGGCGCCAGATCAAATACAAGAATGACTTGGAAGCAAACAGTCGGAAGAATGAGTTTTCCCATCTCAAAATCAAATCAGAGCAGCCTTGCAAGCCCTTCATCACACTGAGAGGGGTCCCCCTAGATTCACCAAAGAACCCCATTCGGGGGACCCTGCAGGATGCTAGGACATATAATGCCAGTATTCGCTTCCCCTTACTAGTAAACCTCTCCCCCCTCGCCCCCGCACACTACTTGAATACCCGCCCGGGGCATTGACTATTAGTTTGTTTTTGTAAAGGGCGAGGTCGAGGCTTATCGAAACACATGGGGCCAGTCCCGAATCCTCATGCGAATTCCCTCTCGAACCATTCAAAGACCAATGGGAACTATCACTTGTTGAGGCTGAATACAAAACCAACTAAGTGATTGCAAAAACAATCCATGTGCAGTCTCATGAACATCCACTAGCATTTAATGAAATAAACCAACCAAATCTTGGGAAATCAAGGACCGTAAATTCGATGCAAATTCCTTAAGATCATACATAGAATGTCGAACAAAAGGAAATAAGGACCTTCCCAGTTGCTTCTCAATCAACGACTCCCCGAATTACCTCAGAAGGCCCCCTAATTCAATTTAATTAGGTGGATCCCAGCTGGCCCGTTTCAAGAATAGTCTCATGGCATCCTCCAAGGTTTTGGGTTTTTCTACGCGGAGTATCTATGACTGGAGGTGTAATGATTACTGGGATCATGCATTCATACTACTGACATCACTATTCCCAGGGACCGAGTGCCATTACCATTACTCTTACTGTTCCTTGTACAATTACCTCATTAACTTCACAGTCCTAGCCCTAAGCCAGAATTTCTGTAACCAAAATTTCAGACCACCCTGGCCTCAGTAGATCTGCAGGCAAGGTGGTCACGGAGCCCTTGGTCTCTGCGGCACCGGTGCTCGTCCTTGCTCTTGCAGAGATACCAAATGCTTCTCGAGAGATAAAGAAAGGAATCAATGACAAATTCTACACATGCGGACAGAAATGCTCGGGCGGAAATGGTTGGGCATACTAGAAGGACAAAAGGCGGTAAGGATTCTTGCTGTGGTTGGTGAGGCCAGAACAGTCGTTGAACAAAATACGGGGCGTAGGCATGGGGTTTGTTCTGGAATCAGAAACCAAGACCCTACCTCTGTGAACCCGAAGAGGGCAAGCTGCTTCCAAGTCATACTCTGGTATTGTTTCCTAGGCTCAAGCACCCCCTTGCTCTGCACAAGGACAGCCAATGAATCAAGAGGACTTACACGGTGAGAGATCTTCCTGCTAAGACCCCAGCATCCAACAGCCCCTTTTTCGCGACGAGGCTGCCGGGCATGTACTAGCATAAATGCTTCTAAGTGCGCACAGCAGAAACACACGAGGAAACAACGTATTGAACCAAAAAGGCCACCCGCATCCCTGGAATGAACACAGCCCACATCAAGGGGACCAGAACAGGTACAGTACATTCGAGAACTGCACACAGGAATTTCTTTGGAACAAATACCTCGCAGAAGTTGAACGTACGCTTGTCTGCGAGCCTCATCGCGCAAGCTGCGGTGATACTCATTGGAACCTATTGACTAGCACAACTGAACCTCAAACCCTGGCCTGGTGAAATCACACAAAGCTCAGCTTGGGACATCAAGGAGAACAGGAATCGAGTACAGAATTGGAACCTGTTTCTCCAAGCTCTGTTGAGGGAGTCGCCTCTCTGCTTGGTCCTTGGTACCTTGATGCTTGAAATCCAAACTTGCCTGGAGTACAGATTGTGTTTCTACGTGTTTTGACCGCGTAAGACGAGCCAAATTGTTGAGAACCCTGAACCGTGGACAGTTCTTGGCAATTCCTGCAGAAAATCATACTTTCCGTAACAAAGAATGGCGGTCATGTTTCTTCGACGTAATCCTCACACCAAATCCCAAGTCCGCCAAATCTAATCCCGAACCCGCAAACCACCAAATTACTCATATTGCCGTAGGCTCGAGACGGCAGTGCAATGAGATGGTAGAAGTTTGCGCGGGATGACCGCACGGCAGACAGGACACGGAAGGCCTCAAGATCAAGGGCGATTCCCTAAACCCTAAACCCTAATTTTTTGCCACATGCATGGCCTGGGATGAGGGTTTCACAGGTTAATAGAAAGCTGGGCCAAATATCTGTGGGGCACAGGCTTTTTGGTGCTCACCTGAGAACTACTCAAGCTCACTAGACAACTTAGCCAGGAGTCCAATGTGCAAACGCAAGTGCTTCCGGAGTGTATGAGGGACAAATGGGGGTAAGAAAAGAACATCAAACCTAGGTAGGAATGCAGAGGTTGAAACCAAACGGATGATTTCAAAACCATGATCGTTTTCGGGCAGTTCCTGAATGGGTTGGGGAAAAACGGGGAGTAGAAGTTTGGCGAAATTATACGCCGAACTTTTCATGAGCTGCCAACAAGTAAACCAGTAATCACATGAGTAGAAACTAACGATAGAAGGAACAGCAGCGTAATCATAGCAATAACTACTAGTAACAAGATATGTTAATAACTATAAGAATAAAAGTAATAATAATAATAATAAACCTGCCAGACTTATCGCTTCTTCTGCCTCCAGACTCCACATCTGTGCTTTCTCGGAGCTCCTGCGTGTACATCAGCGCAACATGAAAGTGTAATTAACTCCTTTAGATATGAAATTCTTAAAGCCTTAATACTTCCTTGGAGCCATGCTGCAACTAAAGTTGAAAACAACTCCTAAGCGAGCAGGGGGAAAACGATCTGCTCCAACAAGTGACGGGAACTTGGCGCTCTAGAACAGGGCTTCTGATTTTCCACGAAGACCAACATTCATTTCAAAGTTTATTAGCGCCTTCCATTTTTGAAGCCGTACCCTGCCTCTGTGATCCAAAGACTTAGTCCCAAAAGTCTGGAGCACAAGAGATTTTAATGTCCTGGTCAATGTTGGAGTGCTGTTCCGTGAGGTCGGCATGCTTCCTTTCTTCCACAACTAGGTTCGAAACCAGTAGCTGCCATAGGGTCTTCTGAACATGTAGGGTTTCGATGCTTACACGTGCACGACAGGGCTCCAATCCAAAGCACAACTGAAGCATTGAATAGCTCCCGCAAGCGCCTGTGACGGTGCCTACACTCCACACTTCTTCCATCCATTGGAAGCCCGGTAGAATTCAATAGAACCACAATGTGGAAGCCCATGTTAGGTTCCCACGGCCGGATAATGTTCATCTCAATGCCGGAATTCCTCACTCTACGCCCTCAACCCAGACCCCTGCATCCTGACGCCGGAAACCCCAAGCCCAACAATAAATAAACCTCAACAACCCAAACTCCGAAACGCTGGAAACGACACCCCAGAACCTGCAGCCCTTGCAACCCGAAACTAGCCGAGTCCCTGACATCCTAACTACTCGCAACCTTTGCGTCTGGGCCGCTTGCGACCCTGCACTCCAAGAAAACAACACTGTAAACCTCCCAACCCCTAAGACCTTGAAGCTCCGAGCCACCAAAACCGACAAACCCGGGGTTAGGGTTAGGGGCCCAAATAATCCGGATAGTGGAAAATCATATGAGAAACCGAATGGGACATGAAATGGAAGCTGGTTTGTATGAAATTTCTAGGGATTGCAATTTGAGGGCCTGAATACCTCGAACAGCGTTCAGGGTAACACCCTTAAACCCTAAACCCTAAACCCCTAAACCCTAAAACCCAAACCCTAAACCCCTAAACCGGTAATCCATGCGCCGGAGCTCAAGTCGGAGCGGCGCTTTTTCGCCTGCACAGACTTTAGCCTTGGATGGTGGCCAGGGGGGGGGGGGTTAACATATGTATATATGTATATGTATACATGTATGTATGTAAATAGATATGCATGTGTGTATATGTATACATGTATGTACATGTAGACTGGGTATGAGGAGATTAATTGTGGGGGTGCTCCAAACCGATTTTGCAGGTTGATTGATCGTGAATGACTCCCGTGAGAGGGCACAAGGCTATACAAATGAATCAGGAGAGACGCCTCCGCATAAGGACGTCTTTGTAACACTGAAGGCTACGGCAGCGCAAGATCGACAATACGTCTATACATATGTATGCCATATATATATATGTATATTCAATATATTCAAATATAAACACAGGCACATGCCTTATGTGCATACAGTCCGTGTACATATATACAGACATGTATACATGTGTATATCTATATATATATATAAATCCGTATACTCAGATATAGGTTACCCAGATATAGGTAGTGGGTTTTGTTAGTTCAGGGTTCCTGTTGGTACTAGGTACTAAGGATTCCGTTTTTGAACAAATTCCACAACATGGGCGAGGCGAGGGCACCAAAAATCTGTCAGGACAAGGTCTTCATGTTCCAGAACACCCAGTCTTATCCAAAATAAGTCTATAAAATCTGAAAGAAAAACATTCAACTTGCGTGTTTCCCAGCCGAGCATGAGGACTGGCAGCTCGCTCTTCGCTGTGGCCAGCTGGGCTTCCAGTGGTGGCTCATCCTCCTCTGCCTCCTGAAAGCAGAGCTTCTGTTGGTCGAAGAGGTTAAGGGCTGGGAGCTTGAGGTTCAGGGCCTAATTAGGTTGGATCGCAGCCCCTGCGCGAGAGTAGTCATGACCAGGACCCTTAACTGCGTATACACATTGTTGCATGGAGGCCTCTTATGGGGTGGGATGGCTTTGTGCACTATGCATTCCCTTTCCCTGCAACTTCCAGCAAAATTCTGGCACAGCCGAAGAAAACTACCCTTGCATGTCTGCACTTATTGCCCCACCTAGATCTAAACGCCTTGAATCCCTTAAAACTGTGGAATCCAGCTAAAGCCCTTTTTCTATAAGGGGCTCCACTTAAATCCCGCGCACCATGCCTCCTCATCTTCAAGGTACTCGCCCTCTTCCAGCGCCTGCCAGCAGAAGGCTCTAGGGTTTGCAGTTGACAGTGTGTCTTGGCAACGTACCGTTGGCCCTTGGCTTCTATCTGTCCAAAATGGTGAAGGCACTTGGGTTAAGCATCCATATGACCAAGTGGATGATAGTGGATGAAGGGTGAGATCACTATGCTGTGTCCAGATTGCACCAGGGAGTTGATATTTCTGAGACCCAAAAACTCATGGGTGGCTTTGAGGCGGGTTTGGCGGTGGCCTGCGCAACATCTTATGTCGGACCCGCTCATGTGCGGCTATCCGAATCAATGTCAAGTTTTCGGGCTTTTTCAGGATACGCCAATTGTTTTACGTTGACGTTTACTGTCAAGTTTTCGGGTGCTGCTTTAACTAGTTTAGAAGATGAGTAGTTTCAGGTTTCTAGGGCTCAAGACGTCCTAGTACGAGAAATACTAGTACCGGATCTAGAACCCGCGGACCGAGCACCCCCCCAAAAAAATTGTTGAGGGGTAACCCTTGAAGCAGGTCAACCCCAATTGTTTGGGTGGGGCCTACGCGCGAAAGCGAGTGCAACATTAACATCCTTAGACAGCTATTCATTTCCTCTGCGGAACCCCTTTTCCAAAATAAACCGGGGTCCTCCCTGGATACCCCCAAGAACGCCTTCCGCTGTGCATCGCGCCGAGCTGTCAGCTTTGCAATCAGGTCTTCCAAACGCGCCGCCTGAAAAAAAAAGCGTTCCAAAGACCCGAGCTTGCTGGGCTTTCATGGGTAGAGTTTTAAGGGGTTATAGGGATCACGCAGGGGTCATGCAGTGTATATTCGCAGCAGGCGCATCAAACAGGGATATACCGGGCTTGGGGTTGCCGCAGTTGAGCACCAACTGAAACATAAAATGGAAAATGAACCCCCCGGAAACTGGGATGATATCGAGATACGTGGTGTGCTCAAGAACTTTAACTGAGCTACCATAACACGCAGAGCTTTCATAGTACATAGCAAGATTTCGTACCAATGTTTACTGCATGGGTTTAAGGTCGCAAGGGTTTGGAATGTCTAGTACACTTTGCCATGAAAGTTCCTCTAAACAAAAGGAGGGCTTAGCCTCAGCGCCTTTGTTGAAGATGCCGATGCTAGTTCGCTTTGAAGGGCCGGTCACAGGGGCCAAAGTGACCTAAAATAACAACCAATGTATTTGTAGGGTCCATTTGAGGCCCATTGCTATTCAAAGAATCTGGGACCCTACCATGCGCAACTATTTACGCTTCTGTATTGTGCGTTCAGTGTCTGAGGGAGCCCTGGATCTGGCTGGTACATGTAGATTGGTTGTGCTTGGGTAATCTGCTGATGAAATTATGCCAGGTACGAACTTAAGGCGCGCACAAGGTTTGCTGCTGGTGGCCTCCGAAGCTCTTGATGAACGAAACCTACAGAGGTACCCACTGCAACCCAATGCGGCCATTGCAAACCACGCGGGGCCCCAAGGACTGCCTTCAAACAAAACACACAATGATCCCTCCGTACAATACTTTAACAAACAGATACAAACCCGTGCAATGCCAAACGGATCTACACAATGCCCCAAGAATGGCCCATCTTTGTACAGGAGTTTGTGTCAGTCCTGTCCTATGACCCTGCCGAGCGGATTGGTGCCTCACGCCCTCTAGACTCAGATGTCTGCAGGAGCTTCTCAGCACTATGCATACGGTTTGCATCATCCTTAAGAGAGACCTGTTGGATTTCCATTGTATAGCCTCTAAATAATAGGGGTATTTTGGTAACCCCAACCCGACCCCATGACTATCATATGATGGTTATAGGGTCCTAATTTTGGGGGTTGGGGTTACCAAAATACCCTTGTTACTAAAATCCCCTTCAAATCACGGGGCCCCCAAGGCCTCCTCAGCCAGATCCTCCATGCTACAGGTCAGTTCTGCTAACTCCCGCGACAGAGCGTCCCGTTGGGAACGCACACTCCTGTGATGGGAAGGCTGCCCCTTTAGGGCATAGGTTGTTCTGGTGGTGTTGGGTCTAGGAAGTCTGCAGGCTTGCACATGTATATACACCCTCACGGTGGATGGCATCTACATATAGACTCATATAGACTTCCGGGATACTACCACAGGACAATTCATATCTTTAATTCTTTCGAAGATATGAACACCGTAAGGACACCATACAGGGGTGTTGCACCTCTTCTTCCCCCACAGAAGCTCTAACCGCCTTCAACTCTATCTTCACACTTTTTGGTGTCTACTTAATTTTCGGCCCCCATAATCCTTTTATAACCCCTTATATAACCCTTATAATCCCTGTAGCTTCCATTTTATTATCCATTATCCCAATTTTTCTGCAAGACCATTGGCCGAGGCACTGCGTCTTGTCTGTGGCGGCCTCCTTCGCCTCGGAAATCTTAATTTCCGCCCATCCTCAGCGAGCCATTGAAGCAGGTATATTAGAGTATATGGGTCCATTTTAGTATATTAGAGTCGATTATGGTCTGTTATAGTACATGATATTCGGTTATAGTATTTTAGAGTCTATTATAGTATGTTATAATCCATTATATTCTATTATAATATGTTATAGTCTGTTAGAAACTATTCTTGTCTATTATGATCTGATATGACATATTATGGTCTATTATAGTATTTTGGAGTATGCTAGAGTAGTCTATGGTAATCTATTATAGTCTAGTATAGTCTGTTCTAATCTGCTATAGTCTGTTATCATATATTATAGTCTCTGATTACAGTCTGTTATAGTACATTATAGGCTATTTTTTAATATTAAAATCTATTCTACTATTGGATTCTAGAAGTACGTGGGGATCACAAAGGGACTTTAGGGCCCCACAAATAGTTCTGGGGGGATTATGTCAGAAACGCCAATGTCGGCTGTGCGACGCAAGCTTTGGCGAGCTTATCAAGAGATGTACCCTTTGGAGAAGGAGGTGGACAACAATATCCTCTGCCAATAAAGGGACGAGAGAATATGAACAGCAAACCCTTGTAGTTGTGCTAGCAACAGACGCCTGACAGGAACCATGACCTGGGCGAGTGATCGACTTCAGTCGACTGACTTCACACGGTGTGTTTCTGAGCATGAAGATGTAAGATGCAACATGTGGGTATTCCGCAAAGTCAGGCTTCAGGGTTAGGCCCTATCAATGTGCAGCCACAAAAATTGCATGGGCTAGGTTGAAAGGTACCGCACAGAGGCTGATAACTTTGAGCAGACCCCGCATACCAATGCTTTCATTGTTTCCTGGCAGCCTGTCGCGCCGCATATTGCAGGCAATCTCTAAATCTTTGTAGGTACATCAGCGTGAGGGATTCAACCATCTGGGTGTACAGAGAACACTGGATCCGAGAAAGTAGCAGATACAGCCCGAATAAAATCCTCCGACATGGTGTGGCCACCAAAATCGTTATGCCCCCTTGTCTATCGGAGCTAGCTTCACCAAGATGATCATTCTTCTTGCGGAAGTCATGTTGGCGGAGTTTTGGTGGAGGTTCGGGTTGTGCTAACTAACTAGAATATTTCCAACTCTTCATCGCGCCCGGCCGAACAGTAAGCTTTGTTCACTGCAGATGGCCTCTAGCACGAGCTTTATATGAATCCTAGGAGAGCCCCACAACGAGCTTAAGCGTGCATGTCCAACGTCATCATCGGATTGGTGATTTTCAACTTCCAGTCACATCAGCCTGGTGCTTGCAGTGTTACTCCCATCTCCCATCCCAGCAGCATAATCATCATGCCCTAAACCCTAAATCCTAAACCCCAAACCCTACACCCTCAACCCTGTGTATCCCTCCTTTATACGCCCTCACTCGCATCCAAGCAGCGTCCAAGGCAGGCCGCGTGGAAGATGTGGTCACATGGTGCGTGGACCACGCTGGCGTCTGTGACGCTGCCGCAGGCCTGCAGCGCATGAAGCGGCTTTAGTCCCCAGGGTTTTATATTGGTAGATTACCCCAATAATGGAGAATCAAATGGAAAAGAAAATGGAAAATGAAATGGAAACTGGGGAATATATTGGGGTAATATTGGGGTTAAATTGGGATAATGGAAAATGAAATGGAAACTGCCGTATAGTATGTTTAGGGTTCTATAGGGAGATCGGAAAAGAAACATGGAAACTGCTATATTCTTAAAAGTCCAGTCTACTTTTGCAATGTCAAAGGCCGATTCGGGTTACGGAGATTGCGAAAGGCAGACATATGAGCCTTGTCTTTGTCAAGGCACTGCTTCGTGTTGCGCAGTGAGAAAAGCAAGCCCCTAAACCCTAAACCCTGCTATGGTACTTGGTTTAGGGATTTGGGTGCGGCTCTAAGATAATCCACGTTTGCTTTTCGACGTCTTCGACCTCTGAACCCTACCCAAAACAGCATCCCTGAAAACAAACCACTCTATAGGCAGACCGACCTACGTACCGGGCAACTAGCAGCAACTAGAAATACTGTGTAGAATTTACAGAAGCACAAATGCATTTCCAATTCTGAAGGTGACAAACGCGACAGAAAACATGCCAAGCACGCACATACACATTAAACTACCTTTCAACTTGAGCCGTCACCTGCAGGCAAATCAAGCACTCGCTCTCGTCGTTTGCCTGGTCAGGCTGTCATCTCTTGTACCAAAGATGCAAGCAGCTTAAAAGGAGCATCATTGGTGTGTCTATGGGTTCTTTCATTGTCCTGTACTGCATCATGTGGGTATCCTGCTGTTTGTTGGAAAATGATCAGACAACTCCGACTTACAACTTTTCCAAGATGGTTTTTCGTCTTGACGTCAGGCATTCGAGCGGACTTGCCTACAAGTTGCCCAGTCAGTATTGGCAAGCCTAACGTGGCGCTACTAAATGCGGGAGTCTGCCGCCCAAAGGAGAAAGTCATTTCAAACCCTGTACAGACGCTGAAGCAAACTATACTATACCCCAAAATGACATAACATCATATGCTCCTTCTTGTTAGGTATGAAGGCTCCCAAGAAGGGAAGCCGTTTCTTTCAAAGACCATCTGCCCGCTCAAACACACAGAGTCCTGGTTGGGTGTATTGAACAAGGGGTAAACAAAACATATGTGGATATATATATATATGTATATATCTATGTCTAATCAAAAACCAATGAGAAGCTGGAGCAGTTTGGTGTGAGTCGGCATGAGCTGCTGAGCTGGCAATCAGACAAACATATTATGAGATTGGCTTCCAGAGACAGCTTGCCCGAGTGTTCTAAGGGGCTCCACTCATGTTCTGCTGGTGAAAACCGTGTGGGCTCAACTCCCACAGCTGTCAAACTTTTCCGCATCACACACCCGAAGCCCAAACCACTACATACACGTTCACGTAATTCTCCAGGTTCTTTTCCAGTGGATTTTCCATTATTGCAATAAACCCCCCCCCCCCTATTCTCGTATCCGCCCGCAGTTCCCTGTCATTTCCCTGAACCCTAAATCCTAAACTAAACCCGCAACCCTAAATCCTAAAACCCTAACCCCCAAGTAACCTTAACCCTTAAACCCTAAGTCCTAAACCCCTAAACCCTAAAATCCCCTGAACCCCAAAAAACAAAATCTAAACGTTTCTTGTGGACCTTCGCAGGCCAACATGGGGCTTTGATGCACACCCATCTGCCTACCGCGAGTACCAGAAGCTGTAGCCATCCCTGATTCCTCAACCCACAACCTACAGTAGGGTTTAGGGGTTTTTGATTTAGGGTTAAGGCTGCCCCCACTCTGTAACAATTTGAGAATACTAATAAAAAAAACTTGTATTTAACCCTTAGCATGACCCCTAATACGGACTGTGATGGGGCGGGGGCACTAGGCAACCTCAACCCATAACTCCTAGTGTAAAGCCTAAACCAATGATTACCCACATGTTTTTGAAGCCTCTCTGAGGTAGCCCAACCATGATACTAGAAGAAACCTGGGACTACAATATAGGAAGTTATTCAGGCTTCTACATTATGAACCCTAGCCCTGGGAAGAGGACGCCCCCACACCTGGTCCAGAGCCGCGCTGACGTCTTCCAGAAGCTGGCAAAGGCAACCTTCTTCGTCCAGTCCTGGTTTTCTGTGAGGCTTTTCCGCGTCATTGGGTCTAGGGTTTTCTCAGGCTTTCAAAGGATAGATGTTCTGCAGCTGCCACGAGCGCAAATCAGAGCCGAGTTGTGTTTCCTCTTCCGCCATGATTCCTCCTACTGCCACTCCTACTCCTACTACTCCTGCTACAGCTGCTACTGCTGCTGCTGCTGCTACTACTACTACTGCTACTACTACTACTACTACTATGACTACTACTACGACTGCCAGCTTCAGCAGCAGCAGCAGCAGCAGCAGCACCAGCACCAGCAGCAGCACCAGCACCAGCAGCAGCACCAGCACCACTGCCACCACCAACCCGGTCCCTCTCCCCATCACCCCGAAACTCTGTAGTTGCAGCCCAATTTGCCATGGCTTTGCAGCGAGGACCTTGCAGCAGAGATGAGAGCCGCCACGCCAGAGTCGGAGAGGCCCCGAGAACGCTCCACAGACACCTGGGGACAAATGCAAAAAGTGAACTATTACAGCACTGTCTTCGCTGTACATGTTTTGTTGCGTATCTCGTCTACTTTGTGTTTAGGGGTTTACGGTGCTGCGAATTCAGAACTGAACTCCAGTTGATTCCGAGCAGAATTGTGGCGGCAAAAAAACGGGCATAGCAAGATGTACTGCACGTGTCGGCTAGCGGCTAGCATCAGAGGCAGTTCGCTGCGAAATGAACTACAAGGGTCATGTTGAGTACTACCTGTGTTCGAGCTGGAACGAGCATCTCATGTTGCATCTTCAGGGCAGGACGTGCTACTTATAGGTATGGGTTCCATGGACTTGTGATAATAATGATGATGAGGATGACATGTCATGACATGAAAGCCGCCGAAGGGCACAGAAGGGCCAACATTGCAAAACAGACATTGCCAGCTTATGTACACATGATTGTGGGATTTGGAGCAAAAGCTGGGCTTGTCTACTGCTGTAAAAAATTCGGTGGGGATGTCTCGGAATTCAGAAATGGCGCAAAACAGCAAAAGAGCAGTAGGGACAGTACCTGTTCTACAACTGATATTGTTACTATCATGACGGCATGGCTGCTTCCTGCTGACTTCGGGTCAGGGTTCATTGGTTTCAGGGTGGGATACTGCTGTTGACGGAAGAAGGACATGGAGTAACAAGCAACGCCTTAGAAAGCCGATGTACGAAGTGGCATACGACAAGAAATATAGAATGCATAAATCCACACTTAACAGCTAACTTCCTTCTAGGGACTAAATGACGATAGATGCTGCATGAAGGTATATCTTGCGAACTTCTATGAAGGCCTCAAGGTTGTGAGCTGCGTTTGGCTACATACAAAGTCTGAACTGCTGTTCAAACTTCGAGTTGTGATTTTAAGTTCAGGTGCCGGAAACCATGCACAAACACAGGTGCAACGGATCCTCTGGTCGTGGGCTTCTGGCTAACATTCTCAGAAAAAGGATGTTCACTGACAATTCTGTGCTCTGAAGAATAAACATCCCCGCCATAATAATGAATCTTTTCTCCCTATGAATGATATACAATGATATTACATCAGCTGGCACTGTAGATGATACCGCAGCACGGAATGAAGATGTGCGATTCTTTCCTTCCTGCACTGCAGGTGAGGTGTCCCTTAAGTGGCTAGAATATGCAGGGGGATTTCAGCAGCAAACCAATCTGCAATCTGCATCTAAGGCTACCTACACCCACCTTTCCCTCCACCTCCGCCCCATGCCTTTCAAGGTGGGCTGGGGGTTGTAAGCCCCGCTTCCCGCCTGGGGCTCAGCTTCTCCCGGATAGCCAGAAGGGAGGCTCCTCAGATGCTAGCTATAGGGCCCCTTGCAGGGGGATACACTGTAGGGGATGAGATAGATAGATAGGTAGATAGATAGGAAGGTAAGTATACATACATATAGGGTAATAGGCTTATATAGGGATTATGTAAAGTCGTATAGCCGGTACTATTCTCACTAACGGAGGGTTACATGGAAGATGTAACATGGAAGATGTAATGGAAACTGAGCGGAGTCGCCCCCGCTACTCTACCTTGGGTACCACCCGCCACCCAACATCGGTTGGTAATGGGCATGAATTCTAATTAACTATCATTTCTGTCTGACGGTTACTGCGCCGCAGCAGTATGCACCCAACAGATAATGCCGTACATCTCCGTGACGACTTCCAAATAAAGATCCCCCATAGACATTCTCCATCAAGTCATCAAGTCTGACCCCTTATAATTTAGGTGGACCCCCCACCCAGTAATAGTGGCTATAAGGGATAATGGTATTTATATTGGGGTCATCGGGGTCATCCTATAGTCCTATTATACCACTATTACAGGGTGGGGGGTCCTCCTAACTTATAATATTTGTGATAAGCCCCCTTTTCTAAACCCTAAACCTTATGCTCCGCTAACAAGAACCCAAGCTTCAGTGCAATGGTGGCCGACACCAGGGCGGTGCCCTGACCCACTCGAGGCCTTTGCAGCTTTAAAGGGGGACATATATTTTAAGGATATTTTCCCAGAATTAAGGGATTCTAGGGATATTCTGCGTTCAGGGTTTCGGAATTCGGGTTACCTTTTTGAGGGTTCCTATAAGAAGGGTCATAGTATTTTGGGGTCTATATTGGGATCCCCGTCTTTAGGGAAACTACCACTGGGTAGTTTTCAAAATAATTCAGGGCCCTGTGTCGCGAGCCCCTATAATCAGGATTAAAATGTTTAGGGGTTTCTAACCCCCCGCCTGTTTTTGGAAACGACAATTTGGAAAATGCAGTGATGTAGGTCAGGAATTTGAAGTTAAGGGTTCGCAGCTTGAAGTGACAGTGCCAGGACATGTTATACGAGCAGCTCGGAGAAAAAACAGGCCAAAGGAAAAGAACAGCCCCTGAAGCGTGAGTGTTGTAATGTGTTGTAAATGACAGCTGAACGTTCAAGTGGTGCCCATGTAAAGTTGGCTTGCCAGAATACTTGAGTCATGCCCGCGGTAGTAGTTGGGCCTGACGCTAAAGAAACGCGGGACACCTCGGCCTGTTAAGAAGCAGACCGCGACACCTTCAGCTCTATAGCCACCAAAGTACTCAAAGACTGCCACCCCAATGTATGTAGAATAATGGCATTGTTGACCATTCTGAGGCGTTGGGGACCATTATTTTAGCTACTTGTGATCTATGCCTGGAAACCATTGAACTCACACAAAATGAATACCATAAACTCTCGAAACAACCTTTCGTATCAAAACTACCCTGCTCAGACCTACAAATGGAAGGTTCCAAGGTGGCAAACTCCAAATCGCAATCTCAATCTTGTCCATGTTCTGAAAGTTGCGCAACACTAGAAATCACCTGGACTTTCCATGGAACCCAAACCTCTTGGGAAAACCTAAACCCAAAACCCTCAGCCCAAAACCATAAGCCCTTAACCATGAGCCCTAAGCCCCAAACCCTAAACCTTGTCCCAGCCGCTGTAGGTCCACCAGAACCTTGCAATCTGAACCGCCAGAGACCTCTAAGGCGACAGCCTCACGCGTGTCGGGCGTTTGGGTTGGATGGATTTCAACATAATTCTGGGTTCAGTGTGTATGAGCCTAAATAATGACAAAATCATGTTGAAATCTGTTTGAGGTAGATTAGATATAGTATTGATAAATGTTTAAGCTTTCACCGTAAACATTGAAGGGCTGTTTTTGCCTTGCATGGTCCTACAGCGGTGCTCGGCTGCGGGCCGAGGCTTTCAGCACCATGGAAAGGCGTTCCGTGGCTGAACTTCGGGATTTGTCAGAATAATCTTTGCGTTGGTTACATTGGGCTCAGATGTTCGGCGCACTCTCTTTAGAGCATGCGGTAGGCTTTGGGATGACGGCTATGCTGGAATTCGACGTCGCCCGAAGACGGCTATGCTGGAATTCGACGTCGGGCACCGCACATGGTCTGTCCGGGCAAGGGCCCATCACCCAAGGGCATTCTTTTGTAGATTTCCAGCGTAGAAGGAACTGATTGAGACTTTGAGAAGTAACGCAGAGAGCCTCAGCAGCTCAGCGGTTTCAACCCGATCTCGGAGTCGGTTCTCCGTTCCGTTTTGCGTTGCGCATATGCGGCTCCGGGAATCTCAGCCCAATGCAAAAACCGGCGTCATGGAAGCCCCTTGACCCTATATATCTGAAGAGACAAAAACAACCTTACCGGAGCTTTAGAGTGCAAGCACTAAACAACCCGAAATGAGCAGTTGCATTCACACACCTTGAGGTGTGAAAGTAAGGCTTCCTGAACCTAACCTTGCAACCCTGAATTGCAGAGCTGAATGCATCTGTACTTTGCGAGAATACCTTCAGAGGCAGCTGACAAAATGTGACACCGAAAAATTATGAATCCCGTGCGCTTCACAAGAAAGAACTAAGAACCAGTAAGTCTCGGTGTCCAAGCATCGACTTGTGCAGGATCTACTTAGGCTTAAGCCATCTCTGCGATTGAAGCCCCCCAAGATCAAAACCTAACGCCTCAACCCTAAACCCTCAAACACCCTAAAAATCCCAAACCTCTGAAACCCTAAGCCCTCAAACCGTAAACCCTTAGCCCCCCCCAAAGCCCTCAAAATCGGTGCTGGCCTCGTCTCCATAGATGGCTTTGACCAGCTCCACCTCCTCTTCTGGGTTGCTGTTAAGGAGCTTAAATTAAGTTACCATAATGGGTATAGGGTTTAGGGTTACCATAATGGGTATAGGGTTTAGGGTTTAGGGTAATGGGTATACATAGTACATAATAGGGTTCCCCAATATAGAAACTCAAATTAAGCTCCTTAACAGCAACCCAGTCTTTTCTGGGAGAACTGTTTTGCTTGCTGGGGAGTAGTAGGGAATAAGGGAATTTAGCTCATCTATATGGGTGGTTGTCTTTTTATGGTCCCTTTTTACCCTAAATATTAGGTGCCGTATCATAATAGGGATCCAAAAAGGGAAAATAATTTTGACTCACACCCATATGGTTGTGGATTTGTTGCGGGTGTCCCCCCCACCCCTTGCTACATACCCTTCTGTCGCGGCCTGTTGTTACACACCTTTGTCGCAAGTGTTTGGTACAGGCATTCCCCACAAACAAAGCGTGTCGCAAGCCAAGAAATTCTGTTACAAGCCTGTGTCGCGGAATGGCCGTCCCAGCCTGTTGCAAACCCGGCATTTTTGATTCACAGCCATTTATACATATGTATATACATACATATGTATATGTACATATATGTATGTCAGGTGTAGGGTGTAGGGTATATAGTGAGCATAGAGGGACTGTGTTCCCATATTCCCTGCTTGTGAAAAAGATGATGGATGATTTGGAATGGAAGGAATCCATCAAGACCTGTATAGATCTACATAAACCAAATCCCTGGGTGTGGGATGCAGAGCTTTCGAGGGTTAGGGTTTCAAAGCTTTGGGAGTGAAAGGTTTTCACGGGTCCTCCACACTTCCTAGGTCTCCACCAAGCATCGTGAAATTGCTTCTCTTTAATAGGAAAGACGCGCCAAATCCGACGGATTGGGATCCACGCCGCTGAGGCTCACAGTTAAAATCGATATTCCGGGTGCATGGCGCAAATCGTGGGCGTCGTGCACTACAACTTCATATAAAATCGATATTCCCATAATGTTTTTGCACTATACTCCCCCTTGAGTAGATAGATAGAATCCGGGGTACGTGAGGATCTTGTTATTATATACCCCAAGCCAAATTCTATCTACTGAAGGGGGAACTATAAGTATATTGAGAACTTTCATCAGCAAGCCCAAAACCCAGAAGTACTGCTACTACTAGTAGAGCCAGGCTCCATAGGGGACTAGTATAGGAGTTATTAAGGGAGATAGCTCACATGCACCCTGACATGAACCATACAAACCTTTAGATGACCCCCTCCAAGCTTCGCGCCATATGCGCCCGAATTTCAAAAAATGATGCATTGCGGCCAACATTGCCGTCTAAAATCATCTCTATATCCCTCAATAGGGGATCGCAATATAGACCACGAAAAACTAAAGTCCTTATCATGGGGACCCCCAAAATGGCACCCCTAATTTTGTGAAACCCCCATATAACTTAATCCCCATTCCATGCCTAATCCCTGATCACTATCCATAGGGCACTGAATTTAGGGCACTTTATTCTGAGAGATACCCACGGGGTGGCTTCCTCTGCCACGACTTCTGGCAGCTCGGACATGGCGTGATTTGAAAATTGTCCGGGGTATTCTTCAAACGCGGTACCCCGGTGTGAGCTACAAGTAGAGCTACAAGGGATTCCAGTACCAAGTGCGGCGGGTTGCCTCATTTCTTGGTGGTGGTGGTCTCTCGACTTCCGTGCCTGTACTCCTATCAGGTACTAGATGCTGACGAGGTATGCGTGGATCAGGCTCTCTAGGAATCTTTCCTGTCAAGCAAACTCACGTCAAATAGTCACACCATACAGAAAACCATGTGCAGCTCACCATGTCAACTAAGGCTTGTTCATAGGCTCCTTTCTTGATCACTGGGTTTCCTACATCATGACGGACTACCCAAGAGCAACACAACAACTGCATGCAACCTTTCTCTTGAGCCATGAAGGAGCCATCAATCTGCTGCTCCAGACCCTACGCCGCTACGCAAAGCCTCCACTTTTGCATGTAGACCTGGGGTGTACATGACCTGGGGCTTATGTCAACTTGTCAGCTCCTATGACAGAAGCCCTGCTCCTGGAGTCAGTGGGGCCTTGCTGTATGTGGCTTTCCCATGCAGGGATCAGAGCGGTGCAGGGCAAGGTGCCAAACAAATCTCAAATACCTCAGAACCACCTCGGGCCCCACCCCTTGAATGCAATTAAATCAAAGATAATAGTTTCCATTTTATTTTCCATTATCTCAATAACCCCAATGTACTATGGTAGTTTCCATTCTCTTTTCCATTATCCCAATATAACCCCAAGCACTCACCTAGTGCGTAGATTGTGGATGAATGGAGTGACAGGTGGTCCCTTCACTGCTTGTTCCTGGCCAGGTTGCAGAGAAATCGACCAGGTATGTTCGCTGCCTTGTTCGCGTGCTGCGTAACGACACCAGCCATCTCATATGCCTCAATGCTACCCTCTATAATTCAAGTGCGTTCTAGCGAACCATGTGTATGTATAGTTTAGGGTTGGGGGTCTGGAGTCTCAAAGTAAATGGGAGCGTCCACACCCAACACCACCGATTTGCATCGCCCGGCTGCCGTCAGCTCAGGGAAGACGTCCCACCACTCTCGAGTTCTTTAATACAGCTGCCTGTGCTGAGGCGGGATGTCTTACCTGCTGTCGGGCAAGCTGCGCGATGGTCGCCGAGTGCATCCAGGCTGCCGAAAGGAGTGCATCCAGGCTGCCGAAATATGGATTTCAACAGATTCTTCTAGGTAATTGTTCAAGCCTCTACACTATTCTGAAGCATTTCTAAATCGAAGCCACAAGCTCAAATCCATGAATCTCCCATTGTGGCTCTCCCGCTGGCCTGACCCGCCAGTATAGATTCATTCTCTAACAGTCGCTTTCAACGATCTTTATTGGATATCTTCATCCAGACAGGCTAGCATGCCCGTCAATGCAAAGCCTGCACGCTGTCAATCTAGTATTTGAGTGCCCCTGGGGGTCACCCCAAAGACCGGGGCCGTGCTGTAACCTCAAACGCTGAAACCAAATCTGGATGCTAAAGCCTTACGGGCAGAGGGAATAACATTGCCTGAATCTTTTTAGCTCGGCTGCTGGAACTCAGTCAAGTGTTGGGCTCCAAGAAGGATAATCACCTTTGCCACGCTGATGCCCCAGTCAAGCGCAGCGCACGATTTGGAGCTTGCTTTTGTTAAGGTGCGAAGAACGCTTATCATGTCATGGACAAGTCTCAAGAGTGCTGGACCTTCATTTGGGGGGACCTGTGCTGCAGAACTCGGGGGGGTTTCTAGATAAAGTGTACCGCAGGACCATGGGTAACCAAGATCTAGGAGGTCAAGCTTATGCAGCTTAGGTGTCTCAGCTGGTACAGTTTTCCTCCATAGCACTAGCGACTGTGTGGAGGATATGCGTATAAAATGCACAAGTACATCATGCCCTCGCCTGGGGGATGCTATCAAATGAAAATGGTGTTGAGATGCTTGTGCGGCTGCTTAATTGTCTGGGTTGTAGGGGATATCAGCTTAAGGGGTCAAGGGAACATCACAAATACTGCGGAGTTCTAGCCTAGACCCTAAACCCTTAACCCCAAACCCTACCAAGCGCGTCTTAGGCACATTGAGGACGCACCTCGGCACATAGTACAGGTAGGAGCTGAAAAGCTTCAGCACCAAAGCCACAACCACCTGAGCAGGGCTGGCAGCAAGCGGAAGGGAAAATAAACTGGAAATTACTCCAGTGGGGCTACATAGGGCTTAGCGTTAGGGTTTAGGAATCATGGGAGGCTGCCAGGGCAACCAGGGCGTACAAGCTAAAAATGGAAGCACCAGATTCTTGAATTTGGGGGATCTGATTAGATAGGGGCTACAATATTCTATGGGGATCCATTCCTCCACTACGCTACCAGCAACCAGGAAGTTCTCTGCGCAAGTGGTCACTTCAACCTCTTGGCAGGAGGGTGACGACGTGGTAGAAATAATGGCCTTTTAATGCAGACTGGTTATCAGTTTTGACTGGCCGCTTAGGACTGGACGTTGAAGATGGGACTTGGGGTCGTGGGGCGCCTTCGAATTCTGGACGGCAAGTCTCTAATCATTACCCCATGCCTTATCTTGAATAAGCCGTCAAAGTGATGACGCAGGCAAATACAGCGGGACCGCGACTGCAGCAGGAAGATTCGCCTGCTAGATGAGTAGAGCCTGTTCAACCTAACCTGCTTCCGACTTCCAGTGTGGCCAACCGGAAGATCATGAAAACAGCCTTAAGTTACAGCAAAACATGCATTCCTTGGCGCTGAGGCAAGCGGCTGCTACCCAAACGTTTGCACCAAGCTGGCTCATGACACCAGTGGAGTAGGCGATGCCCATGCCTGCATGCTGCCCTACCGCATGGTTGATGCCCTGACTACATCAAGCAGCTGCTCATGCACAGCCACGCGCTCGCAGAATCGTGTTTGTTGCTGTAAGGTGCCAAGACGCAAGTGAGCAAGGGTGGCAATGAACAGTTCAACGAATGTTCTTATACTGGTTGCGGTGTTCCTCTCTCAGTACTCACAATACTTTGCGGCCAAGTAGCGGCTTAAGCCAATCCTCAGATGCTGACTGGAAAGAGGAGTTGTCAAAGATCCCACCCAATCGCAACTACCCAAGGACTACAAGGCTTGGTGCCCTAAACCCGAAACCACCATGCACCTTTGTGGTTGCCAAGGGTCTGCGTTGGCACTGCCCCGTAAAGCGCACCGCCCAGATTTGCAAAGCCCAAGGCCAGAAGTTCGTTGATGGCGATCACCTGTTGCAGGGCCAACCTACTGAATCAAAATGGGGTCATATAGGCATTACGTAGGACGTGCTGTGTAGGTATCTTATTCCAATGATGGAGAATCACATGGATACGGGTGTTTGTAGGATTTAGGATATCAAGCTGAAAAACAAGTAACATCTTCATACGAAAACAGCCCCTTCACCCCTAATATTAAAATGTCACCTACGAAACTCTCTTCTTCTTTTTCTGAGGGCTAAAGAGCACTCTACAGTGCCCCGCGGGCCCCGCACGCGTCCGAGCAGCCTGGTCCCTACGAAGCCCTCTCTCTCTCTCTCTCTCTCCTCGTCTCTCCCTCTCTATATGTATAGAGACATGTTTGATTTTGGGCGTGGATGGGTTCACATTAACATGAAGGAAAGCAACAGGGCGTGCACTGTCAAAGCATGCCATGCCTGATAGCCAGCTTGCATAGCAAACCTTGGCTTCTCAGACTCCGTGTTTCACCGGCCTCAACTCAGCTTCCATACCCTAAACCCTTAACCCCTTAACCAGGGTTTGGGGTTTAGCACGAGTCTGAACGTCCATTCCTGAGCCCATGCAAAGATCCTGTCGAAAGGCTCCAAAAGGTGGAGACTCATGTTGAACGTGGCCATACCTAGGCCTTACCACTGGCCCGTAAGCCCTTAGGGCTACAAGGAAAGACCCACAAGCTGCCAGCTCTCAAGTAAAGGGTGGTCACCTCCAGGATTGCCCTGCAATATTGCGTCGGGGTCTGTGCTTGAAAAAAGCTTTTCATAACCAGGCAACTTCTTGGCACCCGCGAAGGAGGAGAGGAAGGTGACCAAGGCAACCATGGTTGCCCCAGGAAGCATCTCCTCCAAGGGTTAATATGGAGGCTATGTAGGGATTACATCGGGATTATATAAGGACTATATATTTGGATAATGGAAAATAAAATGGAAACTACTATTTACGGCTTAGGCTTTAAGGTACCCCTGGCAATCCCATTGCTTTGAACTCCAGGTTCATTCCCTGTGCGATCCTTCTAGAAGGGTATCTGCAAGACTGTCCCCTACGACCCCCTTGAAGCAGTACTATGCGGGGAAGAGAGCTGCAGCTGCAGAATCCGTCCTGGAGACCGTAAAGCATAAACCCTAAGCCCTAAACCCGAACCAGGAAGGGTCCATCTTAACTTCGATGATAGCAACCCGTGGCTGCATGAGGGCTGATGTTGCAGTCAAGGATGTTAAGAAATTTAGTAAGCAGCCCCCAAGGCTCTGAAAAGGGCTAGAATATCAACATCATTGCAAGATGAGAAAATCTACTGACATGAGGCATGATTAAAAACCACATATAAAGCTGGTTTACCTCTCAATTGACTCTTTCGTCAATTTGATGCTCCATTAGCCCCCAAGGCCCCCAAGCCTAAACCCCTCTAAGCCCTACACCCTTAATTCCTGTGTTATCCCTATGAAATCTGGTCTTAGCTGAGAGAACCAGACGTCAGCTGCAGCAGCAGGAGCAGGAGCAGGAGCAGCAGGAGGAGCAGGCGTCAGCAAAGGGCCTCAACATCAAACCTGCTTCATTATTGCTACCGAGGATCTAGGCATGATGTGGGGAACTAGATATGGCTTAGGGATCAGGGTCTACCATATACACACTAGAGTCACTAGAATGTTATAATCATAGCTGTTGAGGGGACAATCTTGCTGTTCAGTCTGACTTCTACATGTACTTCGGCCACCCTCATGGCGCAAACTCCAAACCAGCCAGCCCTTACGGCCTAAAGCCTGAAGACTAAACCCAAGAGCTCAAGCATACAACCCTAAACCCTAACCGCCTGCGCCAGCGCGAAGTCCTCAGAGGTGCGAAGAGGCCAGGAGCTGCTTGGGAGCCCCGCAGGGACGTCCTTTCAAGACTTAATTACTAGTGGCTAGTAGGGAATGAAGGTGGAAAAGAAATGGCAACTACTACGTTCCTGGGACCTCAGGGACTACTATAGGGTTCCATTCCAGATGGCTAGTAGGGAGCGTAGGAATGGAGAAGAAAGTTTAAGCAGCTAGTACTACCCACCGGTAAAGTCCAGCAGGTCCAGGAAGGCGGGCGCTAAAACGGGGCTGTATTCGCATGACGAAGAGGAGCGTACTTGGCTCTAGAGGGATTTAGTTTGGAAAGGGCCTCTGAAACAATGCAGGAAGACGCTACAACAGTGTTAAGCGCCATGAATGCCTGGAACACCCGCCATGCCGCCCAATCTTTGCCAGTGCACTACATCCAGCGCAACTCCCACATCATGACCAGCTGTTCCGAAACCCTACGCCCCATACCCTAACCTCTAACGATGATCTGAATCATCTTACATCATTCCCCCCGCCAAAGCATGGGTCTCTCCCATACCAGTCTTGAAGTGTCTGTGAGTGTTTTAATGTCTACGTGACATTCCTTGTAATTGATCCGTATGTACCCCGAAGGAGTCCACAGTGTGCCTTGTTGTGCCATAACATATCCATAGTATTCCATAGTTGCATGCTCGTAGGGAATTATTGATGCACAGTCGTCTC